AATTACCAATTGAATCTGTCATGTTGGGGTTGGGGTTTTATATGTTATAAAACACTTTGTGAGACTGAATTTCAAAATAAACTAAATAAATGCAGATTATTTGTTATGAACTCACAAATGATCCAAAAACAAATGTGTAATTTTAAGTTTTATTTGTTAATCCAAGAAAAACGCATTAAAGTTTTAATGAAACTCCTCTAAGATGATTAAAAATGTTTTTTTATATTTAGAAGTTTAACAGAAGACAGTGACGTTAAAACAAATGTAATCAGCTTTAGATGCATCTTGTTTGATCTTTTTGTGTTTGAAACAAAAATCCTGTCTGATTTAAAAAGATTAATTAGTGATTTTCATCCCATTCAGCTGAAAATACAGATTAAATTATTTACTGTTTAAAGCCTTTCAGCAGAGTTCAACCTTGATTTTAGAAAATCAAACACAAAAGAAGAAAAGTCCTTTTTCATTCTTTAGATGCTCAGCAGGTCAAACTTCACGAATCAAACTTGTGTTTTTTGTTGTTGCAGGTTTGTTTTGGGTCATAAAACCTTTTCAGTTTGTGTTGCACTAATAACGTCTTTACGGTCTGTTTGTTAGTAAAACCCAGTGTTTCTCACCTGGAGCCGCTGGAGGAAGGACCTGAGGAGGATGTGCTGAAGTTAGAAATGTGTCGAGACACAATCTACATGTTCACACATCAACACGTGTGGTTCACATGTCACCAGCTGTCAGTCAGTTTACTTTGAAGTCTCAGTAACTTTTAATTATTAATGAAGTTCTTAAATCCTAAAAACAGAAAACTCTTCAGTCTGACTTCAGTTTTAGATGATGATATTATTAAAGTTATTATTATTGAACACGTTTCTGACAGACGGACTGTCAGCTGTGGGCGTCGGCTCAGACGGTTGTTTTTTTCTGCGTCTCTTGGACGACAGGAAGTACCCCACCTGTCAGCTGCTGGTCTGATTCATCCTGGACCAGTTGTAGAACCAGAACACTTTGACTTCAGGCTCTTGTCCTGAGTTGGGTTASAGCAGTGGTTCCCAAAGCTGGGGTCTGAATTAATTACACTAAAAAACAAACATTTTTTGCCTTTTTTTGTTACAAAATAATAAGATTAGTGTACTTAAAATGGACAAAAATAGCCTAATAAATAT